GATATGACGTGGGCTTCCTTTGAAGTCATTACATATAGCTCTTATTTTATTTTTTTAAAAGGGATTTTATTTATTTATTTGTCAGAGAGAGCGAGCGAGTATAAGCAGGGGGAGGGACAGAGGGAGAGGCAGGCTTCCCGCGGAGCAGGGAGCCCGATGCGGGGCTCGATCCCAGGACCCCAGGACCATGACCTGAGCCCAAGGCAGACACTTAACGACTGAGCCACCCCGGAGCCCCCAATATAGCGCTCCTTTTAAAACAATTTCATCATATCCTGCAGCATGGACGTGCCATTCTAGATTTGGCCGGACCTTTGGTAGGGAGCATTGGGGTTGCAGTCATGTTTTTGCTCCGTTTTATTTTTGTATTAATTCTGACATTTTTACTTCAGAAGGTGTGACTTCTAAAAGCAGGTTCACGGAAGCAGAGCATGCATATTTTAGATTTTAATAGCTCTGTCCAGATGACTGAACTAGAAGGCGCTGCCTCTTCACACGTGGGCCGGCCTGCACCCTTGGGCTCGTGACCACCCCCTCTCCAGTGTTTGGCGAGCTTCCAAAAGCCAAGAGTCCCACTGTTCCCGGCTTTGCCTTGCCCTGACCCCCAGTGCAGGAGAGCGCATTTTCATGTGGATTTCGTGTTTGTATCCTGGGTGGGATGTCACCTATTGGTCCCCAGCCTGACACCGGCCATCCTCCACCCACCCCTACTGCACGGAGGCCGAAGTTGGAGTCTGCCTTTGCCGCCTGCCCGCGGGTCCGGTGAGACTCCGGGTGGGGAAGGGAGGCTGTGGCCTCCTGCAGCAACAGCGTTGGCAGCGTCGGTCCTGGACTTTGTGGGCCCCCACCTGCCGCCTCCGCTCCTCCACACTGTCCCATTCCCTCACACTGGTGCCGTGTTCCGTCTCCTCTGGAAGTCCCGGGGTGCTGTCCACTCTCCTGGCTGGACGCAGACTGACACCTAACCTTTCCTCATTTTGTCTGTGGTTATCTTTGACTATTTTGGAACCAGTTTTAGGGGCTCTGTTATTTGGGGCGCTCACTCCTTTATCACATGTGTTGCAATTTTTTCCTCTCTCTTCTTCTTTTGACTTTTTCCTGATGTCTTTTGTTAGATAGAAACATTAAATCTTGATATTTTACAGTCTTTTCTTCTATGGTGTCTGGATTTTCTGTTTCAATGTAAAATGTTCCTCCAATCCTGAGGTTATTCGAATTGTCTCCTTTTTCTTCTCACACGGTTGGCAGGTTGCTTGTTTACATGGAAATCTTTAAGCCCCTCTAGGGAGAGTTGACATTTTTATGGTAAGTACATATTTCATCAAGGTGTATGGTATGTCCAACCATGGTTCAAGTCTGCTTTTAAATTGCTGAGTAAAGTTGTATACATCTCATAGATCATGTACATTTCATGTCAAGTTTCTTCCTAGACATCAGATGGTCTGGTCACATTTGTGACTGAAAATATTCCCAACTTCTATTTTTCTATTTCTAGTCGTGTGTGTGTGTGTGTGTTAAGTAATTGGTCTCTATATAGTGTCGTAATCTGTTCAGGCTGCTATAACACGGTACCACGGGCTGGGCAGCTTAGAACAACAGAAATTTATTTGCTCACAGTTCTGGAGGCTAAGTCCAAGATCAAGATGCCTGCTGCCTCAGGCCCGGCGAGGGCCCTCCCCCTGGTTTGCAGGGCCTGCCTTCCCGCCATGGGCCTGCCTGCTGGGGGCTGCAAGCTCTGGCGTTCTCTTCTTGCAAGGGCTCTGATCCTGCTGTGGGGCCCCACCCCCCAGCCTCACCTAAGCCTAGCCATCCCCCCAACCTTCCTTCCAAACACTGTCACAGTGGGGGCAGGGCCTCAACATTTGAAGGGGGGGCACAGTTCCATCCCTAACAGCGTAAAACTAGCTACCTCACCAAATTCTCTAATCAGTTCTGATAGTTCTTTTGGCTGATATTCTTGGGATTTCAAATTATGCAATCATGTCACCTGAGTATAAAGAAAATTTTGTCTCCTTTCCCTAAGATTTTGTTTTCCTGCATTATTATTATTATTTCCTTAACTGAGAACTACAAAACCACGCAGAAGAATAGTGGTAGTAGCAGGCGTTCATATCTTGTTCCTGATTTAAATGTGGATGGTTTTAAGATTTCAATATGTAATATACTCATTGTCTACATTTGATACATTGTCTTTATCAAACTGAGGAGTTCCCTTCCATTTCTGTTGTACTTAGAATCTGTTACAGAATAGTGGCTGAATTGTTCAGATGTGCTGGGGGCCTATGGAGATTCCCGCACGGCTTCCCCTCTGTAAATCTGAGATCACCTTGGCTGGTGGGTTCCTGATGTGAGACCTACTTGGTCAGGCAAATTATGCATTTAGCACACTGCTGGATCTGATTTGCTGTTATTTATATTCCAGTGGTGTACCTGTGTTGTGTTGGGACACTTTTGGCTCAAGCATCAGAAAGCCCAACTTGGAGTGACCGGGATGGAGAGGAGACTGGTTATATCAGCAAGCCAGAAACCAGAGGAGGAGAAGGGCCAGGATTCCTTGCCACCTTCAGTATGTCTGTGCTTTCCCCCTCGTCGCAAGATGACCACACAGTTCTTGGTGATGCGCCCAGTAATGACAGCATCCAGAGGTGGGGGGCATGGTCTCCTCCCATGGGGCTCTCCCAAGTGTACCCTGAAGACTCCTCTCTTTTTTTTTTTTAAAGATTTATTTATTTATTTGAGAGAGAGAGAGCACGAGAGGGAAGAGGGTCAGAGGGAGAAGCAGACTCCCCGCCGAGCAGGGAGCCCGATGCGGGACTCGATCCCGGGACTCCAGGATCATGACCTGAGCCGAAGGCAGTCGCTTAACCAGCTGAGCCACCCAGGCGCCCCTGAAGACTCCTCTCTTGACCCACTACATCCTCAGCCTCCGGGTGCAGATCAGTCACTGGCAGAAGGCCTGCGGGGACCTCTGTAGATCACCGTGTCCTACAGGCGTCCGGGCAGTGAGTCTGTGTGTTGTGCCCAGGCATTGAGGCCACTTAACAGCCCCGGCCTCTGACAGCACCCCCTCCCCATGGCCCCAACTCCCTCTGGTTATACAGCAGCAGTCTACACCTTCTGGGGCTGAGCCTGGCCATCCTTCCCTGGAGGATTGGCTTCGCAAAGGAAGTGGTCCCAGGAGCCAAACGAGACTCTACTGATAGGGGTGGGGCAAGTAGATGGGGCCAGGCCACCCACAAAGTCTGCAGCTTATGTTTGTTGATGGGAGCGATCCACGGCGTCTTGGGCCCTCTCTTCCTCAGACCTGGCAAGTTAGCCTGGTGAGCTGGGTCGGGGACCAGCACCCCTTTGGTAACTTGGCCTGTTTGACTAGCGGGGAAAGCACGTGTTCCCAGCCAGCTGGAGAAACCCGCCGCGTGCCTGTGAGAGTCCGGAGCCGCTTTCAGCCGTTCAGTCCATGGCTACTGGTCTGCTCCTATCTTCTCCACTCTCTTGGGTCAACTTGGATCATTTAAGTCTTGATACAGAATCAGCCATTTTCTTTAGATATTCCAGGTTACATTCATAATGCTTTCTGAGTCTGCAGAATCTCCCCGTGGCTTGCTTAATCCTCTTTTGCCTTAGCATGGTGTATTTGTATCTTCTCTCTGAGACAGCCACTACCCTCGGTCACCCCAAACACATTCTTGTCTTCCCAGCTGACAGGAAGGAATCGGGAATGCGGTGCTTTCCTCTTTGACACTTCTTTTCTCTTGTTCCTCCCTGGAACACTGAGGAGAAGGGACCGGTCTCTATTACGAGGTGGGACAGGGGCCTGGGAGTGGGCACTTTGGGATGGTGGCCTGGGGACAAAGAATAAACGTCTCACTCCCCGTGGCTAAACAACTGTGTCCGGATCTCAGGCAGTCGGAGGCCAGTCCTAGTTGATTACACTCTCTTTTTTCACTGATGGGTCCACTCAAGGATTTATCAACTTTGTTTTTTCCCACTCAGCTTTTTTGCTATATGACTGATGCCAACTTTTAACCTTTAGTAATTTCCTCTTTGCACTTTTTTTTGATTTGGTGAATTTATGTCATATATAGAAATACATGTATACACACACCTACGTATAGGCAATAAACTCACCTAAGTTTACAGAATTGCCTTTGGTTTATTCCATACGTTTTATATAATGTTATTTACTTCCTAGTTATGTTTTAGGTATAGTTTGTATTTTAACTTTCCTTATTCTAGAAATATCTCCTCGCTTCCAAATGGTTATATTTTCCGTTGCCAATTTCTAAACATTCACTCTCTAAAAAGCAAGCTTTGGGATGGCTTTATTACTGAAGGTGCCCAGGTTCACCAACCACATAGTTCTGCAAGAACTGCTTAGCAAAGCAGCAACCTCCCCCAGCCCGGCTGCCCCTCCCCAGGGGCAGCCCCTTGTGACCCCTGGAGTTGGTGAGTTGTGGTATTGAATCCCACAGTTCTGAACAACATGCTTCTGCAGTTTCCTAATTTCGGGGTCACTCACTGACAGCCTCAGGAGGATGAAATGTCAGCATCTGTCCCCTCCACTTGCCCTGTCTCCCTCCACCTTCACCTCTCCCCTCCTCCTAATAGAATCAAGTGATAATTGACCTGAGGTCAAGATGCCAGGAGGACATCTGATTACATTATTACGGCTATGAAAAGGAATGCACAGCTGAGTCAGGTAATATTCTGTGATTACTTTTTATTTTCCCTGTCTTGTTTTGTTACTACTGCTGTGTCAGATGTTGTGTCCAGGGCGGGCCAGGAAGCTTAGCTTACAGGGTTTAGCTCCCTGGGCTGCAGGCCTCCGCGTGCATGTGGCGGGCGAGCGAGGCCGTGGCTCAGCACCGTGACACCGCAGGGACCCAGGCCGGTGGTTAGGATGGGAAGGCTGGAACTTCAGACGAACCTGATGAACACTGGCCTGGTTACTGCTTAGGCACTGGTGTTTCTGCCCCTACAAGAGGTGTGTCGTTGGTGAGGCGAACCCCACAGGAAATCTGAGTGTGTGCCGGAGCTACCCGGGAGCCAGGGAAGTTATGGAGGGACCCGCGTGGAGGTCCATTGCTGGGACAGCCCTTCAGGGAGTGCAGGCTCTGGACAGAGTCTGATTCTGGAAGCAGGCCAGTTCCTCTGGCCAGGCTGGTCCTGGAGGCCAAGTTGGTTCTACAAGTTGTTTGTGGAAGACGATTCTGCAAGCAGATTGCCGGGTCGGGTTCTAGGGAGGGTTTCGAAGCAAGATTCTGGAAGCGAGTTCTGCCGGCGTGACAGTGGACCGCGCAGACGACACCCGGGCTGGGTCAGGGCCGAGCCTGCGTCTGCGAGCGAAGAGAGCGGGCATTGACGAAGGACTCGCACCAGCGCTCGCTCTAACACACCCGTTAAAAACCCCGTTGCGAACATTTCTTTGGACAAGCTCCCGGGAGGGCCCTGTTGACTGGGTGGGTGGGACCCAACGGCGCGGTGCAAGCTCGTGGAGTCGGCTCACGGAGCCGAGCACGCAAGCGCCGGGAAGGTCGGGCTGGCTGCGTTTGGGAGTTGCTTTTTTCCTTTTTCTCTAACTTTCCTTTTTCTCTTAACTTTTCAGCACGCACAGCGGATGCCGGGGCGCATGCGCAGTCTGCGCCCCGCCCGGCCGCGCGGCGTCGGGCCGGGCGGTTGCCAGGGACGACCGCATTCCCCTGGGACTCCGCGGTCGCGTGGGCGGGGCCTGGCCGACCCAAGCCCGCCTTCCTCGCGCTCTGGTTGGTTGTGACTGCTGTTCGTTGGAGCCGTCGCGGCCGCCGATTGGGCAAAGACAAGTTTCGCACGCTCGGCTCGGCGCTACGCCCCTTCAGCCGGCCCGCGGCCGCCACCCGCGAGGAGAGAACAGCGGGGGACCCGGCGCGGCGCCCGGGAGGGACCTGCGTCGGCCTCGGCTTCCAGGCGGGCACGGCCCGAGCGGCGGGCGGCGATGATCCCCGAGGAGAGGCCGGACGGCCCGGGCGCCGGCGAGGAGAGCGCGAGGCTGGAGGAGGCAGGCAGCGTTCGCAAGGTGGGCACGTCCGCGGGGGCGGGGGTCTTCCGGAGGAGGGGTCCGGGACCCCCAGCCCGCTTTTGCCCGCCACCTGCCGCCGGCGGGCGCGGGGCTGCGGAGTCGGCGCTGGCTTCTCAGGTCTAAGCGCGCGGCAAGACTTGTGGCAGCTCCCTGCTTCGCTCGCCCCTAGAGGCAAGCCGGGCTTATCTCTGGGGAAACTGAGGCTCGGTGCAGAGCCCGACCCCGCGTTGCGTGCCTGTGCTGGGCTTCTCTTTTGCGGGTTTGGGGCTCATCTTGTGCCGCCCAGGAATGGGTGGGAGCGCAAGTATAGCTCCGTTTTCCCCGCCGCTCCGGGGGGCGCTCCGGGGCCCCGTTCTAGGGCAGGTGTTGGGCTCTGGTGTGTGACAGCCCGTGGCCCTCGTGCTAGTTCCTGGAGCCCGTCATTCCACCTTTCCCAGCTTTTCCCCCCTCTCCCCAGAGCTGCTCAGTTTTGCCCTGGGCACCTGGCTCTGTAATTGATGAAACTTTCCGCCCCAGGCAGGCAGCCGGAGCCTCCCGGGAACAGGAAGTGGCTGCAGGACTTCACAGCTGGGCAGTTTGTCCTTTTCTCGCTCCCCACGCACCTCCTCCCCCTCTGAGGTCCCTAACCCTGGGGCGCTGACTAGGACTGTGGACCATTTCCAGGAGTACTGGGGAGGCTCTGCATAGGGCGGGTGGAGGTGGAGACCTGGGGAGTCTGTGCTGGGAAGGAGGGGGCTGCCCCTCTCTGCAGCCTGGAGCTTAGGCGTTCCCTGGGAGTCACCAAGAGGCCAACCCCGTGTTCATACCAGGCCCACGAGGGGTGCTACAGGGTTCAGAGTAGCTTCTGGCTCGGAGGCTGCCCGGCCTCCCCGTTCCAGCACATCTCTCCAGGAGCACCGGACATCGGAGACCAGATGAACGGTGTTGACGAGGACAGCCCTGCTCAGCTGATCTTCTCTGCCCAGCACATGGACCACCGCCTCCCCAGGCAGATGGACATGGCTGCTGGCCCAGAGCCTGCTGGAGCTTTGCAGTTGGACCTCCGGAAGGGAGGGACGTAGCTTTGGCTGTGGCCTGCTCCTCCCTCCCCAGGTTCTCAGGCCTCCTGGAGGGGACGCTGCCCAGGGAGGTCTTCCCTGACTGATCTCTCCTGAGAATGCTGGAGTGTGGGGGAGATGTTGAGTCATAATCGAAGGTGGCCATGCACCAGGAGCCTTCATTGTGGGAGGGTGTGAGGCCTTCTTTAAGGTGCCCTCTTCGAGGAACTGGGACAAGATCTAGCCCCCAAAGGGTCTGAAACTTCCCTGTGCCTGAGAGTGGTGGGGGGGGCACGCCAAGGAAGATAGGCCACATTTCCTCCAATATGTGGAAGATGGTGGACACTGCAGGAGGCTGGCCTCAGCACTGCGTGAGGACAACTTTCTGTCCCTGCATCAGGACAGGGAGGCACTGGCCTCATCCCCACTGTGCTCAGGGGCCGTGTGACCATCTTTGGGGATGTTGCCCAGGGAAGGTGCATTCTGAGAAGTTCTTCCTGGCTCCAGGGCTGGTGACTGTCCCAAACAGAAGGTCCCTAAATGGCCAGGAGGAGGCGTGGTGGCCTGGGGCCCGAGAGCTGCTCCAGCTCCCAGGCCCTGCTCCTATGGAAGCCCCTCACCTCCCCTGGCTGGAGCCTCCAGTCACCCGTCTGCAGCATCACTGTGGCTAGGGGCCCTCACATCTCTGCTTTCACTGCCACATAGTTCTCCTAGCCCGGGGCCCCGAGATGTGGGCAGCTAGCAGGATTGCCCCATATAATGAGGAACCATGGCTGAGGTGGGCAGTGGGCAGCCAGAGGGCCTGACCTGCTGCCTATGAGCTGAGCGGCCCTGGGCCTATGGTTTGAGCATTTGCCCAAAGGGACCCCACAAGTAAATAGCTAGCTGGGCTGGAGCCCATCCCAGGGTCAGCATGGGCCGAGCACCCCAGAGAGCAGGTGGGCTGGAAAGCCAGCCTCCGGCACCCTGTAGGCAGGCCCCTTTCCGTTAGCACCTTGGCAAAAGCTGGGCTAGGTCATCCCCGCATGGCCATGCCTAAGCTCATGATAGAATTGTGTGGGTTGAGTGGATTATGGGGGTTATGGAATGAAATTCAAAAGTGCAGAAGGGGAGCATCTGGGTGACTCAGTTGCTTAAGCGTCCGACTCTTGATTTCAGCTCAGGTCATGATCTCAGGGTTGTGAGATCAAGTCCTGCTTCAGGCTCTACACTCAGCAGGCAGTGTGCTTGAGATTCTCTCTCCCTCTGTCTGCCCCTTCCCCCCCACCGTGCGTGCGTGCAAGCGCTCTCTTTCTCTCTCTCTCAAATAAATATTTTAAAAGATTTTATTTGAGAGGGAGAGCATGTGCACAAGCCGGGGGAGCAGCAGAGGCAGAGGGAGAAACAGGTTCTCCACGGAGCCGGGAGCCCGACATGGGGCTTGATCCCAGGACCCTGGGATCGTGACCTGAGCCGAAAGCAGACGCTTCACCAACTGAGCCACCCAGGCATCCCAATAAATAAATCTTAAAAAAAAAAAAAAGGTGCAGAAGGTTGTGTGGTGAACCGTTGGCCACCTCCTGCCCGGGGCTCCCAGAGCCCCGTTGCACTGGTGCCGGCCCCACAGAACGGGGGCCACAGTCCCCGCCACGTCTCCCACCTGCTGTGTTCTTCCTGACCATACCCCCCCTGTCCTCACGCACCCAGCCAGGCCTGAGCCGCCCCGCTGCTCTGTGGAGCTCAGGTTCCACTGTGGGGACTGCGCCTTTCCCACCCATGAGAGTCTCCTGGCACTTGGGAGCTGTTGGCAGAGGCCAGGCCTGGGCCCTGTGACCTGCAGCTTTTCCACAGGGCTCTGACCCCCTGGCCCAGATACCACGTGGCCGCCCTCAGAGCCGCAGGGCCCGGGTCCACCAGCAGATCACCAAGGAGCTGCGGATGCGAACGGGTGCCGAGAACCTCTATAGGTGAGTGCCGGCGACCGCCCCCATCCGTTAAGAGAGCGGTGCCACTGTCCCCTGAGGCCCTCTGCAAGCCCGGCCCATGCTGTGACCCGGGTTGGTGCCCGTTCTTACGGTCTGGTTTGGGAGAGGGACGTGTGAGCGGGTGACAGTGGCCATTGCAGACTCCCAGGAGGAAGGGCTGGGCCTCTCACCGGGCTCGGCTCGGGGCAGCGTTCATCTGAAACCCTCACAGACCACCTGGGCTCCTACCTTGGTGGACCTCACTGGTAGGGGTCAGCTCCGGGTCAGCCAAGGGCCATGTGGGGCTGGAGGGAGCTGGTGTGCGGTGTGGGAGCCTCTGATTTGTATGTGGTGACCTGCAGGCACCGTTTAGGCCGAGCTGTGACAGGTGTCCCAAGATTGGGGACCCGGGAAAGTGTCCTCCGGGCTGAAGGGGTGCCTCTCCGTTAGAACAGTGAGCCGCACATCTGCTCAGACCTTCACCCATGTCTGCATGAGCCCACTCTGTGGGTGATGGCCCAGGAAGATGGTCCGACCTGTCAGAGCCCCAGCCACTGTGTGCAGAGCCAGCTGCAGGGTCCTGGGATGGGGGTCTGCTGGGCCCAAGGGGCTCCTCCGTTTCCTTGGTCATCCTGCATCCCTGTCCAAGCCCATCCCTGCTCTCAGCCTGGCCTTCCTGGGGACCCATCGCCCCTCTGTCAGGTGCCCAGATGTAGGCACAGAGAGGGTCTGACCCCCACCTTTCCAGGAAGGCTGGTTTTGTGTTGCTGTGGAGGCCTGCGTCCAGGGAGAGTGGTGGTGGGAGGCGAGAGCCTGTGGCCTGGAAGGTCTGGATCTGGGTTGATGTGCCCTGGGCCAGAGGCACTGTCTGTATGCGTGGACAGGAATCGACACCAACTGTAGGGGGACTCGGGAGAAGAGGGAGGTCATAGGGTGGGGCTGGGCCTGTGAGCACAGCATGCTGGGAGGGGCCTCTGGAGCCCAGGCCAGGGCAAGGGCTGTGGCGAGGCCTAGGTGCGTGCAGTCCGCCTGCAGAGCTGGGGCTTCAGCTCACCTTGGCCTCCCCCAGAGCCACCAGCAATGCCTGGGTCAGGGAGACAGTGGCCCTGGAGCTGAGCTACGTCAACTCCAGCCTGCAGTTGCTGAAGGAGGAACTGGAGGAGCTCAACGGCAGCAGCGTGGAGGCTGACCGGCCTGAGAGGTGCGTGTGTGCGCGTGCAAGGACACGGCCGGCCTGAGGGGTGCGTGCGCGCTTGCACGTGTGTGTGTGGGGGACCATGGAATCCAGGTCAGAGGCTGAGTGGGTGCACACGTGTGAGGACACCATCCAGAGCAGCGTCTGTGTGCTGTGGGCTGTGTGTGCAACACGCGAATCAGAGTCAGAGGAGAGGGGTTACGTGTAGCTGGGGAAGTAGGGAGTGGCCCCTGGGGACAGCAGGGTCCAACCTCAGAGTCTGGGCTCCATGGCTCTGGTTCCAGTGAAGGAATCACTGTGCCTCTGATCCCCCTGGGGCTGAAGGAGACCAGGGAGCTGGACTGGTCCACCCCGCTGAAGGTAAGCGCTGACCTGTGGCCCTGGGGTCACACCCTGCCCTGGGGTCTGCAGGGATCTTGGAGGCTTTCCGGTCCAGCCATTTCATTGAACAGATGGGGAAAGAGGTCCAGAGGGAGGAAGAGCCTGCCCGGGCTGTAGGAGCTTCTGGTTGGGTGGACTTTGGAGAAGACCCCCCACCATGGGGTAGGCACGGCAGAGCTGGTCATCCTGTGGAAGCCTGAGATGGCGACAGGGTTCCCTGACCCTCGCTCTGAGAACCCCACCGGCTGGGGGCCCCTCCAGGCAGAGCCTCTGCTGCGGAGATCTCCTCGGGTTTCGTGAGCTAGGCTGCCTGGGGATGGCTGGCCACTGCCCAGCAGGCACCTCGCCTGTCAGGTGGCAGAGAGCCCCTGCTTTACAGGGGCTAGCGAGGGCTTCTGCACCTCTGAACCCCGTGTCTGCGGGGCAGGGACCCCCCACACCCCCCACACCAGTCTTTAGCCCTTCTCCAGGGGCCCGGGGCTTCCTTTCTGGTACCTGTCTTTTGCCCGCGCGGGGCTGGGTGACCAGAGAAGGCCGGCACCTGCCCCTCCCCCAACCAGGAGCTGATCTCTGGGCACTTTGGAGAGGACAGTGCCTCCTACGAGGCCGAAATCAAGGAGCTGGGAGACCTGCGGCAGGTGGGTGGGCTCCCCTCCCCTCCCCTCCCCTCCCCTCCCCTCCCCGCCCTGCCAGACCTGGGAGACCAGCCACTCCCAGTTCACAAATAAGGGCAACCGAGGCTCAGTCAGGAACAGAAAAAAGGAGCCGAGCGCAGGCCTTCACAGGGCTGGAGGCCCCACCTGGGGCAGCTCTGGGGACAGTGGAGAGACGGGCACACACGCAGGGCACGCGATGGTTCTGTGTACACTAGGGAAGCTCTGTCCTCACCACCTTCTGCGGGCCCTTTGGGAATGGCTGCTGTGTGCCGATCCCTTCCCAGGGGCCGTGCCTGGGCCTCTCCCTGTGCTCTTCACAGGCTCCATGCCCAGGATGGGGCCCACAACAGCCCCAGAGAGGGCTGATGTGCGTCAGCGTGACCTTGTCCCCCCCCCCCCCGACCCTGGCGCGCTCTCATGGGGCTCTGACGTCCGAGGGGGTTCCCCGAGGGGGGCTTGTGCATGCCATGGGCTGGGCCTGGGGTGCTGGGGCCCAGCTGGTGCCTACCCTGCAGGCCATTCGGACCCCCAACCGGAGTGAGGTGGGCCTGGAGCTGCTCATGGCCTACTACAACCAGCTCTGCTTCCTGGACGCGCGCTTCGTCGCCCCTCCCGGGAACCTCGGGCTACTCTTCCACTGGTAGGGCTGTGGTGGGTGGGTGTCCGTGGTTCGCACCGACAGCTCCCCAGAGCCCTGAGACTCCCGGCTGCTTGCTGTGGGAGCGCCACCCAGCCTAACCCAACCCACAGGTACGACTCGCTCACGGGCGTCCCGGCCCAGCAGCGGGCCCTGGCCTTCGAGAAGGGCAGTGTGCTTTTCAACATTGGGGCCCTCCACACCCAGATCGGGGCTCGCCAGGACCGCTCCTGCCCCGAGGGCACCAGGCGCGCTGTCGAGGCCTTTCAGAAGGCTGCTGGTGAGGGCCGCCCAGACCCCACAGCCGCAGTTAGGGTGCATGTATCTGCATGTCTGGGGCCAGAGCTGGGGCGGGGGTGGTGGGATGGCTCCCAGTGTGAGGGGATCTCCCTTCCTGGGGGATGCGGGGCTGTGGGGGTGCAGCCGGGCCGGCCTGCCCACCTGCTGTGAGCGCCCCTCCGCAGGGGCCTTCAGCCTCCTGAGGGAGAACTTTTCTGGAGCACCCAGCCCTGACATGAGCCCAGCCTCGCTCTCCATGCTGGAGGGACTCATGACTGCCCAGGCCCAAGAGTGCATCTTTGAGGGTCTCTTGCTGCCGTCTCCTGAAGCCCCCCAGGATTGCCTGGCCCAGCTACGCCTGGCTCAGGAGGCAGCCCAGGTGAGGAAAGGGAGCCCTTGTCCCACGGGAGACCTGGCCAAGCCGTGGTGGCTGGATGAGCAGGAGGGCCTGGGTCAGAGGTCCATGCAGGGAGGGGTGGGGTGCAGTGGCTGGGTCTCCTGGTAGTTCCCAAAGCCAGCTGTTGTCCTGGTCTCTGGGGCTGGTCCTGAGTCCTTGCCACTGGGGCAGCACCAATCAGAGCAGAAACTGGGGCCCAGAGCCCTGAGCTTGGCTCAGCGCAGGGTGTGGGGTGGGATGCCTGGGCCTTGGGTCAGGGCAGGTAGAGACCAGGCCCCAGGATGGGGAAGGGCAGGGGCTGAGGCTCCCGGGCTCATCCTGGAGACCTCAGTGTCCCACCACGTGCACCGGCAGGTGGCAGCTGAGTACAGGCAGGTGCACCAGACCATGACCCAGCCACCTGTCCGAGACTATGTGCCCTTCCCCTGGACCACCCTGGTGCACGTCAAGGCGGAGTACTTCTGCGCCCTGGCCCACTACCATGCAGCCGTGGCCCTCTGCGACAGCCCCCGTGAGTGCCCTGGCCCACCCGTCTGCGTGCTGGCACAGGCCCCGGCGTGGAGGGGCTCACAGTCCTCTCTGATCCCCAGCAGCAGCCGAGGAGGACTTCCCAGTGCTGCCGCAGGCCTTCCTTGGGCCCCCGGCCACGTCGGAGCCGTGGGGCGCTGTGTTTCCTCAGGAGCAGGAGGAGCGCAGGAATCTGGGTGAGGTGGCCTCCTGGGGAGGGAGCGCCCCATCCTTCGCAAGGCGGTAGCCTGGGCGCGTGCGGACGCTCACGGGACACAGCCCTCCCTGGCCCGGGCTTCCACACGTGGCCGCTCCTCGTAGCGTGGCCAGCGGGCCCTCAGGGTGGACCCAGAAGCCCTCACCTGTCCAGGGGTGGGGGAAACTGGGGTTTGGTCCGGGCCAGGTGGGCTTAGGGCCCTGCGCCCCACGAAGCACAGGGCGCCATGTCCCCGCTCCGTCCCACGCAGGCAAGGCCCACCTGAAGCGCAGCATCCTGGGCCAGGAGGAGGCGCTGCGGCTGCACGCCGTGTGCCGGGCCCTGCGCAGGGTGGACCTGCTACAGGCTGTGCTGGCCCAGGCGCTGCAGCGCTCGCTGGCCAAGTACTCGGAGCTTGACCGCGAGGACGACTTCTTGGAGACCGCCGAGGCTCCTGACATCCAGCGTGAGCTGCCCGGCCCCTCGGGACGGGTGTGTCCAGCCTGCAGGCATCCGTGGGCTGAGGCCCTGTCGCTGCCCTTAAAGCCCACGAAGCCGTGGGCCTTGAAGGAGCCGAGCCCCTGGGAGGAGCCCAGTGGGCCTGCTCCCTTGCTGTCCCTCGTCTCGCCATCCCTGAGGCCGGTTCCCGCCCCGGGAGGCTGCCAGCCGTGGCCTGGGAGGCAGATTTCCACAGGCCAGCCACCCGGCATCCCCTGCTTTGCAGGAGCCGGCAGGAGCGGCTGGAGAGGGGGGGCCCCCCGGGGTGGGGGCGCACCCAGGCCCCAGAGGGCTGCAGGGGGGCCGGTATGCATCGAGCAGGCTGTTCCTTGGGTTACGCCCTCTGCTCTGGCTGTGACCCAGGTCCTGCCTGCGTCCGGGGGCCTGAGCATCTGTGAACCTCAGACTCAGCTCTGTCCAGACTCAGCTCTGTCCTCCCTTTACCTTTCTCCTTTCAGCTAAAACACAGCAGAAGCCAGAGATCAGGGCGCCCAGCTTCTCCAGGGTGAAGGTGACCGATATCTTCCAGCGGCTGGTGAGCAGCCCCTGCCCAGGTCACCCTCCCCACCTCAGCACAGGCGGGCTGAGGCAGGTGGCCCAGCCCTGCTCAGTCCCTTTGCGGCACCTGGTTTCTGACCCAGGGGGGAGGTGCTGTGGCCGCCCAGCAGCAGCTGACCCCCCTTTGCCCCCCCCCCCCAGGGACCCCTGTCAGTGTTTTCGGCCAAGAACCACTGGCGGCTGGCCGGGCCTGTGCGCGTGACCCGCGGAGAGGCCGGCTTTGGGCTCACGCTGCGCGGAGACGCGCCTGTCCTCGTTGCCGCTGTCATGCCCGGGGGCCCGGCCGCGGTAAGGCCCCTGCCCCACCCCCAGGCAGCTGGTATAAAGGGGGCAGCGGGGGCCCCTGGGCAGAGGTGGTGGGTGCCTGCGCGGGACTCCCAGACCTCCCCTGTCTCCCTGCAGGCAGCCGGCCTGCAGGAGGGCGACTACATTGTGTCCCTGAATGGGCAGCCCTGCAAGTGGTGGAGGCACGCCGAGGTGGTGGCGCGGCTGAAGGGCGTGGGTGACGAGGGTGTGAGCCTGCAGGTGGTCACGCTGCTGCCCAGGGCGGAGCCCCCTGGCACGGTGAGCCCGCGGGGCCCCAACATCCCCAGATGCCCGAGGCTGCATGCACGTGGGCGACCCCTGCAGGGGTGGCTTCCTGGGCGGCAGCGGCCCCTGCCCTCTGCGGGCCTCTGTGTGCCCACGCCCCTGGACGCTTGGGCTCGAGGCGCTGCTGTAAGAGCTGTTTCGTGGCCTTCACCCACCCCGGCGTGGCACCCAGTCCTTACGGGACCCCCAGCTCGCCCCTGACAGGCCAGCCACCACCTCCCTGGTCACTCCCCGGGCTGGGCAAGAGGTGCTGACTGACCCCTTTCTATCCTGGCTGCAGGGGCACCACCGGCCAGCCCTGGGAGGGCTTCTGAGGATCCAGAAGGAGTGTGGGTGGGGGACACCAGCTCCTGCACGAGCCAGCCCCAGGTGCTTCCTTGGCTGGAGCCGCAAGGCCAAGCCCACAGGGAGGCTGTCCCCACAGCCCTGAGCTGTGTGCCACCCTCCCCCTCTGGGAGCCCAGCGCCCCCACACCCCCCATATGTCCTCCTCCGTCCTGAGGCGCTTTCAGGCCAGTCGGCTGCCCCACCCAGTGCCTAGAGCTGCCCATTAAAGACCATGTCACATGAGGTGTGTGTGAGCCCAGTGCTGCGGCCGGGCGCTGTACCCACAGTCACAGCTGCTCTGGGCACGGAGTCCCAGATGCCAGATGCTGCCTCGGGGCTGCCTGTTCCTCACATGTGCCCACCTGGGGAGGGCAGCCCCCCAGCTGAAGGGGCAGGGTCGGGTAGTACGTTGGCAGTGGGCCCCTGGAGCCCACATCCTCCTCACACCCCCCTCCCCCTGCCCCTGAACAGACCACACCCTGGCCACACCCTCCCTCAGGGCTGGGTTGGCCCCAAGCAAGCCTCGCTGGGCCCTCCACTAGCCCTCCACTGGCCCAGCCCACCCGGCACCCAGGGGCCAGACGGGGCTCTGGGGTGCCTACCCCACCCGCATCGCCTGCCCTCTGGGCAGTGTCCCAGCTAGGCCCACCCCGCCACGCCTTTTGCTGTCACCTCTGCTTCAGTTCTTGCGGGGCCCCCATCCTGCCTGACTCCCAGCCCCGCGGCTGCTGTCCAGGCCTCCTCTGTGCTTCCCGCCAGGCCTGGCCCCCCGCGCCCCCCTCAGTCCGCCCTGGCGGGGCCCTGGGTCTGCAGAGGGGTGGGGGCGCGGGGCTGGGCAGGGGAGAAGCCCCGGGGAGCGGCGGGCGGGTCTGGGGGCCGGGTTTGCCGGGAGTCCGCGTGGCCACCAGGGGGCGGCCGCTGCCCGCGCCAGCAGCGGCTGGAGGCAGCATGGGGGGCGGGGGAGGGACGGCCGCCGGCGCGGGAGAGCGCCGAAGCCCACCTGCGAGCCGGGGGGGAGCGCCTCTCCTCGCACACTCGTCCCGCCCCCCCCCTGCGGGAGCAGTGCTGTGCTGGTCCCCGCCGTCCCGCCGCGGTGTTCACGGCAGGGTGGGCTGAGTGGGGGTGGCGCGGGGCCCCGGACGCCGGGGAGGGCAGCCTTCTGGAGGAGGGCAGGGCCCCCCGCCTGCCCGAGCCTGGGCCGAGGGCGGCCAGGTGCGTCCCTTCCGACCCGCCTGCCCCTCCTGGGAGAACGCCCCTCGCAGCAGAACCAGCCAAGGTCACCTCAGCTCTTACTAACTCGATTAATTAAACTGTGCGTCACGGAGGCCATTACCCGCTAATCAGGGATGACGGGGCTGGCAGGTCTCGTCCAGGAGGGAGCCTCGACTCCCGTACCTCTGGCGGCCAGTCTGGACCCAAGAGGGGCACGTGGGCTGGGGTCAGAAGCTGCCGCCCCTCTCTTGCACCTGGCTGGTGGGGAGGGGGCCCTTGGCTGAGACCACGCGCCCCCCCCCCCCCGGGGCCACAGTGCATGGTGCCCGCCCTCGGCCTCCAGCCCCTGTGCCTGGGGCTCCTCACAGCTGGGGCCGCTGCGGCTGGGACCAGGCTCCCCCTCCTGAAGAGGGGTCAGGGCAGCCGGCGCTTAGAGCTCCCCAGGGGGGTCTCCGAGGCCCCGCTGCCAAGGCGCTACCCCCTGGGTTGGGTGCTCCTAGGGTCGAGTTCTGGGCTGCAGGAGGCAGTGCTGGGCCCACCCTTCACCCCAGGCCGGGCAGGGACGGACATCCAGTGGAGTCTCACCTCTCCCGGCCCCGGCCCCGGCCCGGCTGCGACAAACCCCTTTTCCAGAGAGGGAGGTATGCGGTGAGCGACGCAGGGCCAGCTGGGAGGCCCAGCCCGCATGTCCCGGCCACTTGAGAGGCCTGCCACTGTCTTTCTGGGCTCTGAGAGGGGGTGTCACCCTGCGTCCACCTCGGCAGGCAGGAACCAACCACCCTGTCCCCCCACCCCGCTCCAGCGTTTCCCCAGGCCACCCAGGCAGCTGAGCTGGGAGCAAGTGGAACCCTTGGGAATGAGGTCAAGGACCCAGCAGAACCCACAGCTCTGCCCCGGTGGTCAGTCCTGGCCCACACCCCACCCGGGTGGCCTTGGCAGGGACATGGAGAGTGAGCGCTCCACAAGCCTGAGCACGTGGCAGCTCAGCAGCGACACACGAGGCCCTGGGGCTGTCTGGCGCCTGCTGGTGGCGGGGTCACGCGCAGGAGAGCCCTCCTTGACCAAGGCCTTTCTCAGACGGAGCGGCTGTCCACACGCCCATGGGTGTGCCTGCCCTGCCCATCCGCTCTGCTCCGAGGTGTGTGGGGAGCCCACCTGCCCCACGCAGGCCCCTGCCTGTGCTCTCTGGCCTTCTCGGTCCTGCTGGAACCTTCTGGGCCTTCCTCAGCCGTGGCCACACCTCATGGTGCGGGCTCTAGCCCCGCTTTCTGGTTCAACCACGTCATCCATGTCTGTGTCACAGACGGGCCACAGGCAGGGACCACGCCACCTCTTCTACAAGTTCCATGAATACCTGGGAAGATTCAGGGACCTGGTGGGAGTGCCCCACGTGTGTGCCCTGGGGGGGGCGGGTATCAGCACCCTGCCTCTCTCCCGGGCACCCAGAGCAGGGCATGTGGGCGCGGATGGCCCCGTGTGCCCACGCAGGGACATCTCATTTCCCAGAGTGGTCCCCCCTGGGCAGGGAGGTCGGGGGTGAGTGCGCGCTGTGATCCTTTTTGCTTTGCCAACAGAAAACTGCCAAGAGGGGGAAAGGCAAACTGCGTTTCGCTTGGGTCAGCAGTGAGCCGCACAGAGATTAATGTGAGGAAAGGGACGGCGGCAGGGAGCCCTGGCTGCGTGGGAGGGGCAGGCGGGCTGGCACGGGGCGGGGGCGGGGCCCCGCCGTCCACACCAGAGAGCTGGGGGCGGAGGGCGAGGGCCGCAGGGTGGGGGACCCCTTCCCTCCGCTCCCCCGTCCCCTCCCCACTCACCCTCCTCCACGACCCAGCTCGCCCCACCCCCACCCTCCTCCACGACCCAGCTCGCCCCACCCCCACCGCCTCAGCTTAGGCGCCTCCGTGGCAGCCTCAGTGGGCCCCCCATCCCCTCAGAGGTGGGGTTGGCCCGGCAGCCTCCAAAGCTGGGCCTGGATCAATGCCACACCCCACCCTCGCCCCTTTGGAGCCTGGCCCCTGGGCTGAGGTCACGGGAGGCGGCACTTGGGGCGCCCACCATCGGTTCATAAGGTGGTGAGATGCCCTGAAAGCTACCCGGGGACCAGCAAGTGCGAGAAGCAGCAGGAGAGCCAGGCTCACGCAGCCCTGCCCCGGAGGCTGGGTTAGAGGTCTGTGGTGCAGGTGGCCCCAAGGCCAGGAGGCCGGGCCACAGTCAGCTCATCCTTCCTTAGAGGCCTGAGCCCAGCGAGCGCACGGCCGCTGTGCTGCCCCAGGCAGGGCCTTTGCTGGAGAAGCTGCCCTCAGCCGAACTTGCTCCCTGACCGCAGTGACTCAAGAGTGACCCCCAAGAGAAACGTCCACCCGGAACCTGCGAACTTGTTTGGAAAAAGTCTTTGCGGTGTCATTGAGTAAAGGATTTGCGGATGAGTTCATCCCGATGACGCAGACAGGCCCTAAGCCCCGGGGCCTGTGTCCATAGGAGGCAGAAGGGGGAACCTTGTGGAGTTGGGGGCAGAGGCTGTGGCCACCAGAAGCCGGAAGGGACCGGGCCGTGGGGCCCGCAGACCCTGACTTCAGACTTCTGGCTCCAGGACTGCGGGGGAACATGTTTCTGCTGTTGTAAAGCCTCCAGGTTATGGTCGTTTATTAGATCGGCCACAGGAAGCTGGGACAGCAACCTCACACACGTCCTCGCACTTCCGGGCCTCAGTGTGTCCTTCTGTAGGCTAGGACATGACCCACGTTGGGTGCTGGGCTCTGCCCAGGAGAAACACACCCCACACCTGGAATGCCCACCCGCCCCAGGGTGCTGAGGCACAATGGCCCGAACACCTGCATTTGGGGCTGTCCGGGTGGGAACGGAGGGAAGGAGGCAGCCATGGACCCGCCCTGCCCTACTGCCCACCTCCCTCACCCTCAGAGCACGCGGCCCACAGCCTTCCGTGGCTGGCCCCCGGGAGGCGGTGGGGCTTCAGCCTGTCTCACCACCTTGCAGACCGCCTGGTCCCTGCAGTGCCGCTTCCTGTGTCCTCAGAGGGCAGAGGGTGGGAGCGGTCACTGCTTCTCGGGCTTCCTTCTGGCTGGGGTGAGGCATTGATCCAGGCCCCGCTGGAGGCTCCCGGGCCAACCCTGCCTGTCAGGGGATCGAGGCTGGCACAGAGGGGCCTGGGCCGGGTGGCTGCGGGTACGAGGAACAGGCACGGTGCGGGGGAGCAAGGGAGAAGCCGGGTCTTTAGCGTGGTGCTCCCGTGGCTGCTGAGGCCATGGCCCAGGACTGTGTGGTCACTTGGGGCCTGTGTGAAGCCACGTCAGCGCCTCAGGACAGCCCGGCCAACCCCCTGGCTGTGTGTGTTAGGGGTATGGGGCCTGGGGGGCCGCCCGGGTTCAGCCCAGTGCCCCTGCCGCGCACAGAGCCCCGTGGCCACATCCTCTCAAGCTTCACTTTCTTGCTCCATGGCCAGGGGTCCGTGCATTCACCTGGCATGCAGGTGAGTCGACCTCACCAAACTCCCATGTGGGCAGACAGACCCATTTGGGAGCGTCTAAGGAAGGGGAGCAGAGGTGCTAACGGTGCTAATGGGGCACGTGGCCCAGGTCGAGGTCTGAGTGCTCTGATACAGGGGGGAGGTGGTACAGAGGCTTCCCGGGGCAGATAGGAATTTTCGCTGGTCCATGTGGCCACTAGCTGGAGGGTGAAGGATGCGGATGCGTCAGGAGGGGCTTGGGCCCCCCGGGGAGGCGCCGGCTCAGTGCCGTCGTCCCAGCAGGGTGAGGGTGGGCCTGGTCAGGGCAGAACGTGCGTGGGCCAGAGAGCGTTGGGTTTTGCCCCTACTGTCCACTGGGCGCCTCCGTTTCCCAGGCCGAGGAGGGGACAGGGTGAAGGGCTGACTCCAGCTTCCCTGAGTGACCTCCAGCCCAGACTGGGCTCTCTGTGGCCAGCTGCCTCCTGGTGTGAGGGAGAGGAGAGGGAGCTCCAGGGCACTGCCTTTAGACACACCATCAGGGCCACCAGCAAGCCACAGTCCC